GTTTTTTTTTCTTTTTTTTTTTTTTTTTTTTTTTGAGACAGGGTCTCATGTAGCGAATGCTAGTCTTGAATTCAACATGTGACCAAGGACAGACAACCCTGAATTTCTCTCTGCTCTTCCTCCCTCCAGCCTTCAAACACTGGGATTATAGGTGTGTGTCACTGTTGTGTGAGAGACTATTCCTGGGAAGACACCACACACACACACACACACACACACACACACACACACACACACACACAGAGTCTTCTCACCCTCCAATGGGAACCCATGACGGAACAAAGTAATGATTCCACCAGTGTTCAACTTGTAAACTAATGAGTTTTTTTATTGGGGTTACTAACTGGGGTATGGGTGAGGGGCTACTTACAGGAGCAGGGGTGACTTAGGAAAGTTACTGCAGTCCTGAAAGGTACCCCCCAACACAGGTGCAGCCTCACAAAATCTGGGGTCCTGAAATTCTCAGCACAGCTTGCCGGTGGCTCAACAAGCCAAGAATCTCCTCTTGGCAGCTGCGTTGGTCAGTCTGTTCTCCCGGCAGCTGTGGACTCCTCCATAAAGCCAGGAGGGGCCTTTGGACATCTTCCAAGTTTTCTTTTTTCCCAGAGATGTGGCCTTTTGCTTGCCTCTGAGTCCCAGGAGCCTTCTGCTTGTCCTTGAGGGAGTGTTTCATCTGAGAGAAAGCTGCTGTGTGACAGTCACCACACTCAGTTTATTGGGTGCTGAGGATGAAACCCAGGGTTTCACGCCTGCGCATGGCACACATTCTACCAGCTGAGCCACACCCCCAGCCCCTGGGGAACTTAAACCTTGCTGTTGCCCAACAGGATATCTGAAATCTGTTCCGAACTGGATTCAAGCATCCCAGTTTTTCTAAAGATCTTCCCTGGTTCCAATTAAGGTGAGAATCCCAGAACTGGATGAGATTTAATTAATTAATAAAAATAATAAAAATCTGAGCTCAGTAGTACTGGAGTCAGCCAGGTTCACAGAGTCGTGATTCACATTTGCTGCTAGGGCGATTTTTACTCCCGGCTCTCAAACATTGTATAGCAGGCTGTCAACCCCCAGCTGCTGGAAGACTTGATAAAACTGAGGGCTGGACTCACCTCAGAGCTTCAGAGCGCCTGATTCTGGAGCCAGGACTGAGTATGTGTTTGTCCAACGCGTTGCCTCTCCGGGGGCCTGTATGAATCAACTTTATAAACACAAAAAGAGAGAGTGGCCTAACAAGGGGAGTTATATATTGCCCTGCCAGCCAGGGCAACAGGGGACTCTCCCTAGGTGTCTTACATGACAGAAGGAGGGCTCAGTCGGTGGCCAGACTCCTGCAAGGGCAACCTCTAGTTGGTTCCACTGCTGGCTGGAAGCCAGCTTTCCAGGACTAAGTCCTGCCTGTGCTGGCTGGAGAGAGGCTGAGATTGATGGAAACACCTGTTGCCTAGGCAACACACTCTGCCTCATACAACCAGACACTTGAAAAAGAGAAAAGCAGAGAGGAGAGAGAGGACATGAGAACGTGTGGGGGAAACAAGGTCGGGTCAGATTCTCCGCATTTGCATTTTTGTGAATGCGCTATAGATTATACGTTCTTTCAGCCCAGCCTGGGAGAAAGCAGCCAGGACAGAGCTTCTCAAACCGTCTTGGGGTTTGCTATGCAGAGGGAAGAAACCAGGCATCATTGCCTCATATTGGCTTGTTTATGCGGCACCCTTACCAGTGCTATGATGGGAGAGTCTGGCCAGACTTCCGGGACCCCAAGTGCCCCACGTGGGAAGCAAAGGCTGGCAGTGGGTGAAGAGGCTTGGTGCTCCGACCAGATGAGAAGCTGTGAGCTAGCAATGGCCCATAGCCCGGGATGACATTCACTTTTTTGGGAAGCACACAGAGTGGGGGGAAGGGGAAGATGAAAAGACAAATAGAAAAAGTAGCATGGGACAGGCAGTGGCGGCGCACGCCTTTAATCCCAGCACTCGGGAGGCAGAGGCAGGCAGATCTTTGTGAGCTCGAGGCCAGCCTGGTCTATAAGAGCTAGTTCCAGGACAGGATCCAAAACTACAGTGAAACCCTGTCTTGAAAAACCAACAAAAGAAAAATATCATGGGCCAAGAAACCGAGTCAGCAATTGGGCAGAGTCTTTGGTGTATGTAGCCCCCTCCTCGGGGACAAGGTGGCCAGGCTGTGCCCAGTGTTCAGGTCTGGTCTCTAGGCCACAAAACATGTTGACTAATATAGCCTGTGGCTTCCTTCTGTGCCACCCTATGTAGGAATGGAGCCGGGAATTGAACTCAAAGACTCCGATGGCTAGTGTCCTCCAAAGGCAGAGGCTCAATGAGGTAAGAAACCTGAGCACGTGAGAGGGGCAGCCTCTCCTTGTCTCCTCAGTCCACGTGGCTGAGCGGGAATGGAAAGAGTGACACCAGCCCATTCCGGTTTCTCAGGCATGCTCTTCCACTGGGACCGCCTTCTCCCCATCCTGACTGCTCTCTCACACTCTTCAGTAACGGGAAGGTTCTCCCCTCTCCTTATCGCAATGCCAAGATCAGGAATTGTTTTTAATTTGGGCAGTGCTGAGACTGGAGCTCAGGACCTTGTGCTTGCTGGGCCAGCATCCTGCCACCGAATCCCGGAAACTGTCTTTATAATTGAGATACTCCGTGACTCTTAGTTTAGAGCCTTCATTTTGTTTTTTTGTTTTCTATGCATTTTGTATGCATAACCACAGTGATTACTTTCTTAAATACACCAAACCCTGCCATCTTTATGCAGAAGCAGCCACTAGGATAATTACAGCACTAACATATACACGATGAAGCATGGGTTTAAATTCTTTTCGCTAACCTGTTCTTGGTACAATTTTTGCAATGAACGTGTATTAATTTCACTTTTAAAAGTTATTTCAACATGAGTTTAACCTTACATATTGAATCATTCATATGGATGTGGGGTTCGAGTCTGTGTGTCTGAGGGGGGGAATGACACAATGAGTAAGGGGCCGAGCTGCATTTTCCCATCACTGGCATAGTCAGTGGTGCCGTGTAGCAATATTGTCATGCACTTGGCACCCTAGACCAGCATGTAACCCCGCTCTTGGTAGCTTTCTTGTGTTGGGAGTCCAAACTTAGACTCCTCCAGGAGGCCTTGGGGGCCTTCTCTTGGGGTCTCACAGATGTAAACAAAAAGTTTACAGGGCTCTCATCTCCTGGAGGCTTGATGGGATGATGGGAATCTTCAGGGCCAACTCACTGGATTTCGAATCACCATGAGAACACACCCTTGGAAAGAGTGATGAGGGTGTTTCCAGGGAGATTTAAATGAACTCACTCTAAATGGAAGTGGTTCCATCCTATGGACCAGGGCCCTGGGCCGAGTACCAGCATTCATCTCTCCCTGCTTCCTGACTTCAGGTGCAGTGTGATTGGCAGCCACATGCTCCTCCCACCATGCCTTCTCCATGATGGACTGTACCCTCACACTGTGAGCCAAAAGAAGCCCTTTTTTTCCTTCAGTTGCTTCCTGACAGGTATTGCCATACCATAAAAAATACCTAACCCAGAAGAGAAGGGCCTGCCTCTGGCGTCCCGCAGGCTGATGTCAGACTTCAATTCCTGGTGACCGAGGACTGGAGGATAGGCTTTCCTGCATCTGCGGGCCACAGACCACCTTGTGGTCCCTGAAGGATACCATGTGGGCTTCCCCAGCCTGGCTGCTTGCTTCCTCAAGCCAGTCCAGAGTACAAAGACTGCAGTGACTGGCTGATCGAGCTCAGAACCGCACACCGTGGGGAGTGAAGGAAGCCCTGAGTGGGTGAGGTCTCGAGAGAAGGGATATTGTTGACAAGGGTATGGCCCTGTCAAAGGCCAATGCCTCAGCCCCACGGGAGTGGCAAAGGTGCCACCTACCCTAGGTGAGGCTCAGCAGGATAGCAAAGCCTCCTTTGGGTGCAAGTGCAAATGCTGACAGTGTTCAGAAAATGTCCGCTGCAGCGGTCTACCCCAAGGTGTTTATGATCTAATGACTGCTCTACAGAGACTGCTTCTGTGGAGATTAGCCGACCCCGCCTTCTCGTTCAGAAGAAGCCTTGGCTCCTATCAAGCTGTAAGCAGTAACCCATCCTCCTTGTTCTTTTGTGGATGATAAGCATGATGCGCTTCCACAGAACTGCTGCTTCTCCACCTGATCCCAGCGTTTCTGTCCTTTCTTCATGTCCCTTGATGCCCCAGTTAGGCCAGTCCCTGGAGCTGTGCAGGATGAGGCAGCACACACTCTGATGCTACACTACCCTGTGTAGGTTAGAAGGAAGTCATAGGCTTCGCCCCTGGGGAGCAAAAGGAGGCTTTATTTAAAGGAGGATCACAGGTGGGTCCTGGGGTCATCTCGAACGCCGGTCACAAATGCTGTACTTGAATTCACTTAGCATATTTGGCATGTTAAACAATGAGACAGGGCTGGAGGTGTGGCCGAGCTGAGCCTTTGTCCAGCATGTGCAAAGCCCCGGGTAGAGGTTCAGCATTGCATAAACGGGGCATGGTGGGACATTCCTGTAATCCCAGCACTCAGGAGGTGGAGGCATGAGGATTAGAAGATTAACACTATCTTCAGGTGTGTGGTGAGTTTCAGGACATCCTGGACTAGAGACTCTATCTCAAAGGATGGAATAAAGTAAAATACAAAACAAAACTTTTTCTTGTGTTTTGTCTTAGAGAATGGTTTTTATAGAGCATAGAAAATCCCTCCCTTTTTAAATGACTCCCACACGTATTCTTTTTTTAAAAAAATTCACATATTTTTACTTTATGTATATGAGCATTTGTGTGCATTCCCATATGTGCACCATATGTGTGTAGTGCTTGAGGAGGTCAGAAGAGAGTACTGGGTCCCCTGGAATTGGAGTTACAGACAGTTGTGGGCTGTCCTGTGGATGCTGGGAACCCAGGTCCTCCAGAAGAGAAGCGCACACTCTTCACTACCCTGGTGCCGTTGCTCCAGCTCCTCCCACTCTTACTCCATTTGCCTGTGTACAGTTTTCAATGAAGCGTGATATATATAGGCAAAGAGAAGAGACGATAAATGTGAAGCTTGATAAACCAACCACTCGTAAAGTGGCCACACCACATAACCAGGACCAGGATCAAGATTCTCTACATTTGTCCCCCAGGAAGGCCCCAGTGAAGGCTCCACACCCGCTGTCCCCTAAGACCCTGCCTGTACTCCCACTCTCCTGAAAGACGTCCTCATTCCTGTTCTTTGCTTCCTCCTCCAGCGTCATGACTACCAATCCCTCTTCTGATGTCATTCAGGAGTTGTTTGGGTTAAGGCTTCACCCCAGCCCCTGGCATCCATATATCTATCCAAGGAGTCTGGAATGTTTGGGTGGAAAGTTCCATCCCAAGCCTCCTCCTCTGAAAGTTGCCTCAGTCCAGACTCCACCTCCGAGAGCCTTCCCAGAGATGCTCAAGACCGCTCCCACAGGGTATTTAAACTGCCCCCCAGAGAACAAACACAGGGTTTCCCCGTCTTCCTTCCCCATTTCCTCTCTGAGGTGCTGGAAGGCTGCCTGGGAGGGCTAGTATCCATTAAACCCGGGCTTTCTCTAATTTGGTTTGATTTGGTCTGATTTGGATTATTGTGTCGGTGGAGAGGTTTATCGGGCTGTAAAAGCTTTTCAGGAGTGTCTCGGGGGGTTATGGCTATAAAGAGACACCATGGGTACGGAAACTCTTATAAAGGAAAGTATTTCATTGGGACTGGCTTACAGTTCAGAGGTTTATTATCATCATGGTGAGAAGTATAACGGTGGGCAGGCAGACGTGGTGCTGGAGAAGTAGCTAAGAGTTCTATATCTGAATCAGGAGGCCATGGAAAGAGTATGCCACTGGGCCTGGCTTAAGCTTCTGAAACCCCAAAGCCCACTCCCAGCGACACACACCCTATAACAAGGCCACACCTACTCCTACAAGGCCACACCTCCCAGTACTCTCACTCCCTGAGCCTGTGGAGGCCATTTTCACCCAAACCACCAGTGCGAAGAGTAACAGACTTTGAGGAAGTCCTGCCCAGCCAACTAGAACCACAAAGAACCTTCGCCCCCGCCCTGGGGCTGGCAGAAATGAAGCGGTGGCTCACGTGGGTGGAATCCCTGAGGTGTGTTAGTAGATTCTCTTCCCCAGCAGACAAACTGGATCAAAAAGACCTTTGCTAGAGAGAATGAAGACACAGAGAAGGAGAACTCCTCCGTGTACTCCTCTGCCTTGAGCTAAATCTCCAGGGCCACGCCCAAAGGAACTGAGCCTGGGGACTGAGGGCATCCCCCAGGTGTAACGGACAAGCTGCTAGGATTCTCCAACATGACTCTGCCCCACAGAAAAATAACACAGATCACGGTGTACAATGTTTAATTTTCTGGCCACCATGTATAAAAAGTAAAAGGAAATAGGCTTTAATAATTAAATACTAAAGAACAATAATTTAATTTTAATACATATTTAATTTAACTGAAAGTTTATTGTCATATACAATGATGAATGCAGAACTAATGAGAAATTTAAGTACACTTAAGTGTTTTACTTTTTTAGTATTAATCTTCTGGAATGTTAATGTTTTACAGTCACCATTTTAATTTCAATTTATTCTTTCTTTTGAGACAAAGATGTACTCCAGGCTGGCCTCAAATGCTCTATTTGGCTGAAGATGACCTTGAATATCTGATCCTCCTGCCTCTGCCTCCTAAGTGCCAGGACTACAATGTGCAGCTTCATGTTCAGTTCATGTGCACCCAGGGCCTTTTATATGTCAGACAAGCTCTCTGCTGGCTGAGCTGAATCCCAGCCTTATCGCCAGCACTTCCCTGGTCAATTCTAGCTAGCCAAATGACGTTTCAATTAAAGCTTTGTTTTCTTTTGTTTCTCCTTCTGATTTCTCTTGTGGTGGGAGGAATGGCATCAAGCAACAAATTCCAGACTCAGACCTACTGTACCCAAAAGGCCACTTTTACCAGCTCAGGATCAAAGGTCCTGATTGGCAAAGATGAAAAAATAAATAATAAATAAAAATCTCAACTTTAACACATTTCAAGGGGACTGAGTATGTGGCTCAGTTGGTAGAGTGCTTGGCTAGAATAAACAAAGCCCTGGGTTCGATCCCCAGCACTGCACACACTGAGTATGGTTGTGTCTATCTCTAACTCCAGTATTTAAGAGGTGGAAGCAGGAGGAACAGAAGTTTGAGCTCATCCTTGGCTTCATAGTGAGTTTGAGGCCACCCTGGGCTCTGTGAAATCCTTGTTTAAAAAGAAAAGAGAAATATTTTTTTTTCTAGTTTAAATGTTTCGAGAGTGAGTTGCTATAATGTCCAGATAGCTTGAATCCATTCACCAGCATTGTTTCACGGAGGGCACAGCCATGAGGGGCCTCTGACCCTAGTGAAGGAGCCGTGAAGGGACCTTTAAAACATCAGGTGCAAAGCCAGGGTCAGAGGTAAGCTGCAGGGAGGGAGCGAAGAGCCCCAGCTCAGGGCTCTCACATTGCGTCCATTACCACTGTTAGGTGCCTGACAGTCTCCTTCTGCAGAGGGTTCTGGGTCAGGAAGCAGTCTGGTTAAAATGCAAATACCTCCTCAGGCAGGGTGAACACGTAATGCCCACTTCCATGCATTAGTTTGGAGACCAGATAATTTGTGCTACTTAGCAGAAAACAGAGCCGGAGGTACGCGGGAGAGATCTGAGACTCCGGGCGCAAATGGGGGACGGGCTGGGCCTGACAGCTTCTGAGAGGTCAAAGGGGCAAAGGAGTCCAGAAAGCAAACACAAGGGTGTCAGAAAAAGCAGGAAATGGCCTGGTTCTGCTCCTGGAGAAGCCATGGCTTCCCTTATCCTCACACACAGCAGCACAGGCGTCTTCAGAGTCCTGAAGACCTGGGAGACTCTGCTGCCCCACCCCCAACCTCCTTGCCCCCGTGCCACAGTCCCCACCCTTTCTCGCTCTCTTTCCTGTAAAATGATCGTTATCTTTGACACAGGAGTCACTGTTCCCAGGGCTGGGGTGATCATTCAGTTGGTGAGGTGCTTGAGGAGCTGAATGCAGATCTCGAAAACCCAAACAAAAGCCAGGCACTTGAATGTGCACCTGTGTCACAGCACTGGACAGGTTGGGACAGAGGGTGTGGCCAGTCTAGGGAATTCCAGGTTCAGTGAGAGATCCTGTCTCAAAAAATACAGTGGAGAGTGAGAAAGACATTCTAGATCAACTTCTGAGCTCTACATACATCACACACACACACACACACACACACACACACACACACACGCACGCACGCACGCACGCACACAGAGTCCCCAGGGAGGCTGATCCTTTTCTCTGATAGTATGACAACAGACCTGCAACGTGGGTAAGAAAGCAAAGCTCTTTTTATGATAAGCCACTGACATTTGGGGAGATTTCTGTTACGGTAGCATGACTAAACAGATGCTGACTGATAACCCTCCTGAACCAACACTTCTAAGGAGAGAATGGAGCCCCTGCATCTGCTATTTCTCCCCATAAAAACCTCATTCTTAATAACATCCAAACAATGAAATAGATACCACCAGCCATCCATAGCCATAAGCTTCACAACCTCAGATTCAACCAACATAGGATGAGAAATATTCAGAAGAAAAACAGTGTCTGTACTAAACTTGTGCAGAATTCTGCTGTTCTCTCTGGGCAGTTTAATGCAGCAACAACTGACGACATTTGAATGGTATTGCATCTCATCCAGAGGTAACTCACAGCGCGGTGGAGGATGTGTGCGGGTGATGCTCACGCAGGATACTTCCTATTAAAAGGACCAAAGTGTCTGTGGATGATGGTACCCTCAAAAAGCCCCACAACCAATTCTCCACGGGTAACAATTGACAACTCAATTTCCATTTTGAGAAGTAAGTCTTTCAGCAGCCAAAAGCTGAACGCTGGCTGCAAATCAATGGAACACTTAGGGGTTTCAGGTTTCAGGAGTTGGGAAGTGTTCTGTGTGAACAGGAATCTTAAGTCTCTACTACATTACACTCCCAGAAATTCAGAGAAACCATAGCTAGCTGGAGGTGGAAGTTTGTCAACAACAACCGTTAGAGTTTCTGATCAAAGGGGGCTCCGAGCAGACCCTGCAGGGAGGCCCCTGTACCTCTGAGGACTGTCATGCCACAGTTCCTGGGTGACCAGGACATTTGTCCTTCAGATTTGGTTGTTGATAAGGTCTGAATATGTCTCCTGAGCTCCACACTCATGTTGAAATGAAGTCACCAGTGTGGTCCTGTAAGCAGTGGCCTCTCTAGGACAAGGTGAAGTCGCACTGGGAGCGTTTATGACTCGGACTTC